CTATTGATGCATCAGAAGGAATGTGCTGCGTTGATAAAAGGCGCTTTTCACACGTTATGAAAGATAAGAACACAACGTAATAAAAGACAAATAATTGTATCTTTTTTGTGTCCATTTCATTGAGATATATATAATAAAAAGCTTGCAGAAGTTCTCAAATGATCAAATGGAATAAAACATTATGCTTTATTGTTATATTATTTTTAATTTTTATCATCTTATTTTTATTCAGTAGTATTCAACAAACATTTTCAAATATAACTAATATTTATGATTGTGAATTATCACGTAATGAAAGTAATGATTTCTTTTGTGAAATTAACAATGATTGGTATCGTCGAAAAGAATTATTTTATCTTCAACATAATCGTAATCGATTTTTTAATTCAACATCAATGTTTTTTCAAGACAATTATGAACCTACATTTTCTTGTCGATTTGAACAACGTTTAGGAATAAATGGTGATGGAGGAAAATGGATATGTGATGTTTATCGTTTAAAACAATTGAAATCGTGTTTAATTTATAGTCTTGGTTCTAATGGTGAATTTAGTTTTGAAAATGAAACAAAACTTTATTTGCCTAATTGTGATATTCATACATTTGATATGAAAGAATTTAATTGTACAAATATATGTACATTTCATAAAGTTAAAATAGGTAATGGACTCAATGGAACGAAAACATTACGCATGATTATGTCTGAGTTAAATCATTCTCAACGTACTCTCGATATACTTAAAATTGATGTGGAAGGTAGTGAATATGAATTTTTCGATGATGTATTCAATACAAGTGATCATTTAAGTAAAAATATACATCAGATACTTGTTGAAATACATCTAGCACCAATAATACGACATGTGGGCAGTAATACGGTATATGAATTTAAAAAAATTCATCGCTTATTTGAATTATTTCATAAAAATCATTTTGTTATATTTCATAAAGAAGTTAATTTATACAGTCCACATGAAACATTTGAATTTAGTTTCATAAGATTAAATGAAAATTTTTTTCAAATGAATCCCCATTCAACATCAACATAGCATTTACGATGATCTAGTTTTTAAGAAATATTTAATGGTTCTTCGACAATTACCCAATTTCATTGCCATTTCACTTAATATTGACATTTTAATGTTATTCATTTGTTTGTTATTAATAAAGAATGTTCGATAACATGGATGGATAGACTTTCGTTGAAACCGACAGTCGAAAAAACTATAGGGAATATTCAGAGATCACTAGGAAAACTGAAATGGATGAAATCCGGTAGCAAAATGTCGTGTAAAGTACTCCGTCAATGTTTCTTCGCATATACACCTTTCCGCATTTCGCGTGGCTATTCCCGCTTTTTTCTCTCCTCCCAGAATCTCTACAACATATATTGCAACAAAAATTCCGTGTAGGACTTCGGTTGGTGCATCGCTGCCCCTTCATTTCTGCGCATAATCTGTTCAAATTCACTTCTGAACAGCCCTTGGAATTTTATGTTAAAAACTATATTCAGCGAAGATTAAAAACCATGTTCAAAATGGATCTTGGTTCCTCATTATTTTATGAAGATATCTTCGGTTGGGATAATTTTTATAAAAGGAAAAACGATCACCTTGGCCATTCTTTTTGCTCACGTCATGTGCAACAATTGATAGATTGACACGAGTCGTTCCTTTTAAAGTGGTTGTCTTTTATGGATGTGAATTGATATCATAGAAATATGCATAAGTGTAATGCTTATTAAAGATGTTTTTTTTTTCTTTTTTCCTTTGTTTTTCTCTTTTTTTCTTTTAAGTCCATTAAGTCTTTCTCTTTCGTTTGTGTTCTTTCCTTCTTTACTTTTTTCTCTCTTGTCTCTTCTTTTTGTGTTCTTCCTTTTTCTAGTTACTCGCTCTACTGTGTATCTCTGCTGCTGTTTATCATCATTATTCCTCGCTCTCTCTCTCTCTTCTTACACTTTGTTTATTAATTTTATTTACTCTCTACTCTCTATATATCCCCACAACCGTGAATTGGTACTCAGCACGGTATATTGGTGACAGAATGTATAACGCTTTGCTTTAAAGATGCAGCTATTCGCTTATACATCTATATTTCTCTTTTTTATAATGTAAGCACCTCCGAGTGTTACATCAACGAGCATAATAAAAACAAATGTTCAATAACTGAAAGTTTTATTTCAATTCGAAATATTAATATACATTTAAGTTAATTTACGGAAAACTAGACTCACAGTAAATCATAGATGTTTATCGCGGCTGAAAATCTGCTGCCGTAGTGCCGCAGTTCTAGAACATAGAAGACTACCCCATCACTGTTGCGGTAATTTTCGAGAAATGATTCAAAAATCTTTTCTATCACTGTACTAAATTAGCACGGTTAGATTGAATGCATTCGTGATATTATACATGCGTCCTGTAATAGTCCTATAATATCAAAACATTCGAGATCCATGCTTAGACTCTGACTAATGGTCAATTATATATAGTAGGTCTTAGTTAGCTCTGTATTATAAAAGTATCAATTTGAAAGATGTACTGTCGCCATTATTATTTCTTCTTATCTTGATTTATCATACTTGTAAATGTGTTTTTGAACTGTTGTATGTCTAAATTGATATCTTTCATTTAGCGTTGCCAAAGTAAGTGCAGTTTTGTGTATAGTTTCTATCCATTTTTTTCGTCATGACTACACAGTGTACAGAGTAATAATATTCGATCTTGCCTATCTCTGCTAACCTCAAAATACTTAGTATTCTGCTGTTTCAACAGTCCGTGTAAAGTTCATATATTTTTCAAACATTTTTCTATAACAGATACAGCATATTTTTCAGTATCTAGATCAAACAGACATGATTGTTAAAGACTCTATATGAAGAAATACGGCAATATAATGCGGTCAAGTCTAATGATGGTACCTGTCCGTATCGTATACGGAGAAATAATGTCATTTAGAGAGAAAAAAGACGATTCTTTACTATCTTCGTATACGAAAGCTGTATACCGATCTCTATTTTGCTTAGTTTTACTACTTATATAATCGTATTGATGTGTATATGGTCATAGATGTATGCGATCATAATAGTGAGCCATGCAATACGATAAAAGCGGTCGTATACGATCAATTACAAGTGTGTGCACATGTCTAGATAATACTCTATTCCAGCTTTGAAAAAAAATGTTTATACAATCATATATTACTAACAGTGACTTGGATTTGAATATTAAAGAAGTTTTCAAATAGTCATGATTTGATTTTATCAAATCTTTACGAATATACTCTACAATCTAAGAATTTAACATTGTAAATTGACTCCTATTTTGCTGTGGATATTTAACTTTTGTGCACAGCTGAAAAAAATCACACAGTGTAGTACAAACAATTTATAAAGTCAATCAAAGTTTTGCTTTATAAATGATTATTTTGTGTTCTGAGATCGTTTTGATCGGCATCTATCTCTTAAAAATATGAATATATGAAATATCCTCCATCGATTGACATAGAGCGAACTCTAACAATCGCTTTTTTCTGATTGGTTGATTTATATATTCAAATCACAGCTAGTTTATTTGGAATAATCTTACAGCATAATATTGTTTTATTTACTTTTATTAGATTTAACAGTCATAATAAAACGATTGTACATTTTTATTTTAAATAGATAGTGACAAAATGCGTTTCTCATTACGTCGATTAGGTATGGAATGGGGTAAAATCGGTCATCAACGTGGCAAAGTAAATGCTTTGTTTTGTTTTTCAATTGATGTTTTTGTTAATTTTACATTCAGATCGAATATACTCTTTCATCATATGAACAAAATCCTTATGCTGGTGTTTTTGGTGAAGTATCATATCGTTATTATTCTCGACTACTTAAAACACTTATTACCATATGGGTACCTAATATGTTACTTGGATATTCAGTTTATACATGGGCTAATTGGGAGCATGATCGTTGTACTCGAAAACTACCCAGTCAATTTGCTGATGAAAAACCACCTGGAGAAGCCGGCGGTGAAAATGAATAGACAATTAATCATCCTATAAAGTCCATTTCCTTTCCTTTTCTATAATGCATCCCGTATTCTTCTTTTTGATAATCACGTAGTATAAAGTGGATTATGCCATCAATTTTTGTTTGTTTAAATAAAGTAGAAAAACAAATGAAAATAAATCTAGGTTTTGTTGTGTTTTTTATTTGAAAAGAAAATAGATTATTTCATATTTGTAGATAATCTTCAAGAAGAAAAAATAGCATACAAAATGTCAGGTATTCTTTTTCTTTTAAGACTATGTTGTAAACTATTCGGAAAAGAAATACAACAAAAGAAAAATAAACTTTTCTCACTTGAATAGTAGAAGATATAACTCGTTAATTCGTATTGTCATTCATCCTAATACGTGAATATTTTCTCACAAGTATTGTTTTGCTTCCTATAGATATAAGACTCATCATTCAAAGAAAAACTTGAAAAGAGTTGATTTTATTGTTACTTGATTTTGGAGAAGTAACACATTTATTTCACGATATCAAAACTCAGCTGTTAACAACAGAATACCTTAAAGATAATTTCGATTCTTATTTTAGATGAGAAGCAAATTTGAGTTAACTTTTCTCATCGATAAATAATTTGTTGTTATCGAATCTCGATATTACTTATGTTAATCAGCATTTTATTTCAAATTAATCAATAGAATTAAACTCGTTAAAAACTTCTTCAATAATTTACGTATTTTACTTTTATTTTTCATGTTCAATCGACCGTTAGCTACTTTATTCATAATCATATTATAATAGGGGCCTACAGAAAAAAAAGAGAACAAATAAAACCTTCTCTAATTTGATAAGAATTGACGAGTTATGATATTTAGAAAATAAAATGTTCATTCAAAGTCAATAACGAATGACAATCATAGTGTTCATTGTCATATTCCAACATTTTTCATATTTTCTATAATTCGAATATACAGCAGTGCTAAACAATTTTCGATTTTAGAACATGATAATCACTTTTTTTAAATTTTGTTTATCTATATTAGATTTTTATCAATTGACTAATTCAACATCCGATTTTAAATCACGTTCCAATGATGTATTTGATAAATTAACAAATCTCGAAAAACAACATGATATACATACGAAAGTGAATACTCCTATATCCGTACATGATGATGAAGCACCACCACCACCACCACCATCATCATCATCATCATCATCTGATCAAAATCCAAATATTCCAAGTCATGCAATTACATTTAAAAAACGTCCCGCTGATGATACATTTGCTCGTCCAACAAATAAATGGAAAAAATACGATTTAGATGATGTCAATGCACATCATCTAAGTGATACGGGTAATCGACATGCATTAAATGATTATCTTCGTACACGTGTTAAACCTTCAAACACAGACGAAACTGAAGAAGAAACTCCAGCAAAACCAATATTTCAACGTCCAATGAAAAAACAAATTTTAACACACGATAATGAGGATGATGATGATAATAATAATGATGATCATTTTATACCTGTACGTGTACCACTACCTTCAAATACAACTGAAACAAAGACTGAAAATGATAATGATGATGAAACAATCAAATATAAATTAAAATCTGTTCGTAAACAACCTCGTGGTGTTTTAAGTACAAATGAAAAAAAAACAATTAAACCTTCAATTGAACTTTTTCAAGAAAAGGATAATGACGATGATGATGACAATGATGACGAAGATGTTGATGATGAACTTTTTGAACCTTGACATTATTATTTTCTTTTATCACAGCTAAATAATTTCGTTTTCATCGTTGTCAAATAGCGAAAAAAAAATACATAAAATGCAAAAACAATTCAGAAAATAGTTTTTTGTTTTCATATCTGATACATATGAACATACACACATATATATACAAATACGGTGTTTGCAAAGTTTTATTTTCGACTAGAACAATGAAACACAAACAAACAAAAAAAAAAGACATCCGAAAAACATCATCATTTCATTTTCTTCTAATATCAAATTTTAATTATAAATAAAATTAAATCGACTCAATGCTTGCGGTAAACTTGAGATAATTGGTCCATAACCTGATGCATTATCATATAATTCAAATAAAGGTGCAGCTACTAGTTTATAATTGCGTGGTACAGCAAACATAGATGATTCGCCAAGTTGAACAAGATATAAACTAAATGAAAAATAAATGATGCTAGCATAAATTTCTATAAGCTACCGTGATAGAATAAAACAGTAATTCAGTATGAAAAAGCACGACAGATAGGCCTTTGTTCATTAATGAAGTAAAACATGAACTCAATACCATATGTGGATTAATAGGAGGTCCACACCTACACTCTACAGGTAGAAGGAGCTGAAAAGTCAATAGACAGACAGTCCGAAAATTCTTGCCGAAGGTGTCTTCATTCTCAGAGTGCTAGAAATGTTGACCAGAGGACAGTGGGTGAGCAGAAATGTGAAATCCATCACGATCTAGTGTCTTCTATAGGGCTTGTCCGATCCTATTCACCTCACAATGATATTGTCTACTTATTTTTATTTCATTTTGTGCCAGAGAGAGATAAATGGTTTTTTCAAAATCTGGTTGCTATCCAACGTTATCACCAAATTATAAAAAAAATTGGCCGGAAGTCGGATATTTTAGGGGTATGAAACTCTTAAGCATTTACACCCTAACTTTTTGCTTCTTACGTGATACCAAGAGACTTAAACAAGCAAAAACTCAGCTCAATTTTTGATATGATAGTGAACTTATTTGAATAAAACTTTTTTTCTTCTAATTCATTATGTTAGGCTCATCGGTCGGTGTACCTTCATAGGTACTGTACAGTAGTCAAACAAATTATCTTTCTCGCAGTAGAATTCAATTGTGTAAGTCCATCCATGCAATACTTATTTTAGATCATGTTTCATTAAAAAAAGGAAGCATTTTTTTCTTTACCGAATATGTTCTTTTGGTTTTGTTATATGAGCCGGAACATATGGATAACGTGGCGCTTCGAAATTTGGACGCCACCAATTGCCAATAACATCTTCGATAAGCCACTTATTTTGTTGAATAGCATCCGGTCGACCTAATGTTTCATTTAATAAACGTTTAAGACCTTCCATTGAATCTTCACCTGGATTAAGTTCACCACCTAAAATAAAATAGTAGACAATAAATGAATTTTTATTTGAGTTTGTTTTCTTTTACCTGGTAATTTAAAAAATGTTGTTCCCAATTGTAGAAGAAGTATATGAGGTAAATTATGTTCATGTACTAATAAAACGGCTTCAACACTACGTCTCATGCCCATTGTTGTAAATTCTTCACGCATACGTTGAAATCGTGCTTGAACAGAACTATCACGTTCATATAAAGGATCTTTTGTACCAAATGTATAATTAGTTAATGGATATGTTTGAATTGTTCGTTCTAATGCCATTGATTGATTTGTTTGATCATTATTATGAATTGATGTTGGAGATTTAACTGTAGAATTTGTACTATTATGTTGATTTAATATAGATGATGGAATTAAAGAACTATTAATTGTACTAGAATTGGAATTTGTTGGAGATGATTCTATTGAATTAATATCTGTCCAATTAGTGCGAACTAATTGTGTGGAATTGTTTATTGCATTTGCTACTGCAGACATGCTTTTCTATGAAATAAAAAAATTAAATTAAATTAATAATAAATTTTGAACCAATGTGTTATACATGAACAAAGAAGAAAACAAAACAATCAAGCAAATAGATACAACCAATCGTTAATGGTATTTTTCCACACACAAGATAAAACTAATTATCAGCGACATCTATGAGAGTAAAATTTATATCTTCATATGTCAAGATGAAAGAACTTTTTTAATAATAAAATTTAATATAAATCGAATAGAATTGATATAGTTTGCATTCATTCAGATGATAAAGTGCCGATATTGATATCACTTTCTACTGATTGTCTTCTCCTCTCTCCAATGTTCTATATCTTGCTCATTTCTCTCTCTTGCTCTTTTCTGTATAAGCGCGTATGTTGTATGTGAAGTAGTTATATTATAGAGATATGGAGTAGCTCCATAAACATCATTACTAAGGTGGGCGGAAAGCTTTTTCTTCAGTTTGTCACTACAGGTAAGTATCTAATTGTTGACATTAGTATATTTACTCAGAAGAAGATTTTGATGATATGTCACAGGTACGACAGTGCTACAAACATGACCAATGCATTAGTATTTATATTAAAAGTATTTAAAAAAAATTATACAATCAGAAAATGGACTCTGTCTTATGATAGAGAAGAATTTGAAATAATTTTTGTTAATAAAGTCAAAGACGACTATAACCATTTGACTGAAAAACAGGATATATGTAGGTTTGTAGAGGAAGAATATCCTGCCACCAGTATGTCACAGGAATATTTTGGTACTTCATTGTCTTAGGATACTTCGTGAGTTTTTAGAACTTGACTAGAAAATGCTTCTAAATATTCATTTTACTAACTTGTCGGAAAATTTCTCATATAATGCTATTGAAACTGGAGAGATACCTGGTAAGTACCCATGTACTGAGACAATTCTCAGTAGAATATCTAACCAAGACCCTGTAATATATTGGTAATAGGGTACCAAAAAAAGTACGCTGTTGTAAATGCTTTCATCAGTTTGAATGTTACATTATTTAAGTCGTGTATTATTACTATACGTATAATAGCATTTTGATATGGTTTGTCGAAGACAAGTCCAACAAATTTAATATTCATGGATAAGAAGTGAAACGAAATCTTTTCGCGACTCTTACTTTATCAACTTCTATAGATGAGTGTCGTCAATATTCATGTAACTTTATTGGATAGGTACTTGTTGAAATTAAACTTTCTTGAGTTTGTGTAACGATTTAATTATGTTAGTTAAATTAGACCCAAATCATTGTGAAATAATGTCCCTCGTACCTAATTTTCCATCGGAGTTGCTTTTGAAATTATATCCGATGTGATTGAGAGGTATTTTGATTCGACAAATATTCTCATGGATATTTATTATTTATGTTTTATTGTAAATCGTCCTTCTATTTCATGATATTCATGAAATGCAGCAGAAACATCAACATCTGAAAGTGAATAAAATAGAGCAAAAAAATTCTACCTAATAAATTAAATCAAGTTTTAAACGTCTTGACTTAACGCTTAATATTAATGAAAGAAGATCGAAATCCACCACTTCATTCGTTAATATGAAGTGTTAACAAATAATTGCTTAGTTCTAAATATTAAGTTTCGAGATTTTCTGCTTGACACTGCATACGTTTGAAATTTAATTTAAATAATTGCATTAGATAGTTTTGAGTTTTTTTTTCTACTTCACTATGGACAAAACATAATATTGTTCGAGCTACTTAAAAGTGAATTCCTGCACTTTTCCGAGCAGCACCATGCTTCGCCTACAGAATAGTAAAGAAGAAGCTTACTGAAATATGATTGTTGATAGAAAAAGATTCTTGTCAATGAGATTTCAGAATGTTTTTTCACTATTCTACGGACGAAACATGGTGTGGGTCTGGCCAATTCAAGGATTAGCAGAGGCTCACTTTCCGACGGCTTAGAAAATATCATGTTTTGTCCATACTGAAATAGAGACAAACTCAAAGCTTAATATTAACGAATTAAGTGACGGAACAGGATATTTTTCTCAATTATTTTAAGAATTGTGTACAGACACTTGAGGTTAATTCTGAATTAAGGTAAAATGGTTCATCTCTAGGTGTGGGTGTTGGATAAAAAGATATCTAACCCACACACCTATATTTCATTTAAATTATTCTTTTTGAATATTGTTGTCAATATAAATTACATGGATATGATTATTGCATTCATTCATTATAATCATTGAATTGAATGTTAAAAAATTCAGATAAACTTTCAGATATTCTAAAATATAAACCAAAAACTTTTGATTTTTGATCTTGAGTTCGAATAAATAGAAATATATAAAACACTATTGTTTGGTTAATGGATTTATAAAAATCAATAATCAAATTTATTTATACAAACATTAATTATATGAGATTAATAATATTAAGAAAAGAATTTCCTTATTGAATTATTATTAGTTTGAACAATAGACTTTTTTTTATGAATCTTTTATTATTCAAATATAAATTTCAAAAAATAAAACAAAATCTCTACCCTTCTACAAGATAAACTTTTCAATTACTACGCTTTCTGGAGTGCTTTTATTTAATACATAATGCTATAGATATATATATTACTATTCAATCAATTTTTGAATGATGAATTCAAAAGTATGGATAAACGTAAGTGCCTGAAGTTCTTCTCTTTTCTCTCATCTGTATTTTGCAGATCACTTTCAGAGTACTGTTCAAAGCTTAGAAACGATCGTTTGAAAGTGTTTCAACATCAATTTGTAGATAGTTTGGACGAAAAAGTATGTGGACATGCAATATACGTATTTTTGACATTGAATTCTCATTAATACAATGAAGAAATGAAAAGAGTAATCTTATCTCTGAACCAATTTCTGTGCAGAAATTGATTTAAATCAAACATTATCAAGAGCCTCTCTCACATCAAATAGTAAGTTAAATTCAAGATAATGAGAAATATACAATAGAAATAATCGTAACTGCATTGCTTTCTCTTTAGTTGCCAATACCAGAGAGAGAGTCTTTCAATACTACTGTAAATTTTTTGATTTTTTTTTATATTAGCCACAGTTTGAAACATTCTCTCAACTCAT